TCCTTCCCATGATCCTTTCCCATGTTGGGAGCCTGGGCCTCTTCCCACAATGGGAATCTGGGATCATTCCCATGGGAGCAGGATGGGATCTTTCCCATGGTAGGAACTTGGGATTCTTCCTTTGGTGGGAACCTGGAATTCTTCCTGCATTTGGAGCCTGAGATCCATCCCGGTATCCTTTCCCATGGTGAGAACTTGGGATCATTCCCATGGTGAAAAACTGGGATCCTTCCTAGAGTGGGAATCTGGGATCATTCCTGTGGTGAGAACTTGGGCTCATTCCCATGGTGGGATCCTGGGATATCCCTGGGGATGGATCCCGAGGGATGCACCCGGAGCTCGCCGGGCTCAGCACGTTGGACAATCCCAGGATTGCTGGAATTTGCCTGGAGCACAGGGAACGATGCCAGATCCCGTTGGTTTTTTCCTGGAGATCCCAATTCCTGAAGTTCCCGGCGTTCCCGGCGCGGGTCTGTCCCGTCCGTGTCCCGCGTTCCCCGCTGCGTTCCATGTGCTGTCATTCCCGATTATTTATGCTCCCACGGGATAGTGATGGAATAAAATCTTTTCAGGATACACCAGAACCGCGTTCCCGCTTTTCCTTCTCCATCCAGGGGCTCTGTGGGAAGGGGGGGGGGGCGCGAATCCCAAGGAAAATTCTGGGATGTGCTCCTCCAGACCAGGGAGGGGGGAATCAGCTGAAGATGGATCCTGGAATCCAGCATGGATCCTCATTCCAGCATTCCCAGCTCATCCCAACATTCCCATTTAGGATCCAGCTCATTCCAGAGGGAGGAAATCATGGAGCGCTGGCTCTTCCCTGGGATCCAGGAGATCCTTGTTCCCAGCCTGGCAAAGCCAGGGGAAGATTTTCCAGGAGAAAGGCTCCAGTTTTCCTGGGATAATCCCTCCCCAGAATCCCCCCACCATTCCCAAGGGAAAATATTCCAGGAGCTTCACTCAACCCCAACCTCCCCCCCGGACTTCATCCGACGGATTTTAGGGAGCCAAAGGTGCTAAAAATCCAGGAATTCCCGGTTTTCCAGAGCTGCAATTCCTTGTTTTTAGGGAGCCAAAGGTACTAAAAGCACCAGGAATTCCCGCTTTTCCAGAGCTGCAATTCCCTCTTTTTTAGGGTGCTAAAAAGATCTGGGACTTCCCGCTTTTCCAGGGTTGCCCTTCCTTGTTTTCCCAGAAAGAATTCCAGAGGCAGGATTTGTATCAAAAGCTTTATTGAAATTCCTCAAAGCCAAACAGACAAAAACTCCAAAGGTGGCTCTGCCGGGCCCCCAAATTCCCAAAAAAACCTGGAGCCGCTGGATTTCTACACACGGAAGCTTTCCTAGGAAATCCAAGTCACTTCCAAAGGGATTTTTTCCCGCGGGATCTGTACATTCCCCAAGGATTTTCCGGGTTTTTTTGCCTCCCACAAGGTAAGAAAATACAATTTTCAGGAATTTCCATGGAATTTCAGGCATTTCTCCTGGAGTTCCTGGCTTTCTGGGTGGAAAAATTTGCATTTTCCAAGCAGTTTTTCCTGGATTAGGGGCAGAAATTCCAGAGGGAGCAGATTGGGAAAGGGAGGAGGACTTGGTTTATTCCAAGATCGGGCAATTTGGGAATTTGGGATATTTTTAATAGAGATTCCCATTTTTTTTAAATGCCTGCCATTTCCAGGGATTTGGCTGTGCTGGAGCCACGAAAATTCCCAAAAATTCTCAAAAAACAATCCCCTAAAAACCCCAAAAAAGTCCCCAGAAATAAAAAAAAAACCAATTCCCAAAAAAACCCTAAAATTCCCTCCCAAATTAAAGGAAAACTGGGAACACACAACACACAGGGATCGCAAAGTCACCAGCTCCAAACCCATCCCAAAAAACCCGACATTCCCAAAAAAACCCCCAACGTTTGGTCACTATTTACAAAGAGGGAATTCCCAAAGTTGGGAAAAGGGGCTGGAAATGGCAGAATTCCCCCCCAAAAAAAACCAAACCCATGGAGCAAGGCACCGTTGCCACCCCAGGGAGGAAAGCCTGGCTGCCATTCCTGAAAAAAACATGGATTTGGGAATGGCAGAGGTGGGGAAATCCCGGCTCATCCATGGATTTCAACTCGGGTTTTCTCCTTGTTTTGCTTCCGAGATGTCCAAGCTCCGCTCCAAGAATTCCCAACTCGGTTCCTACTCAACGCTCGCAGTTCCAGGGATTCAAGGAAAAGGATCCAAGGAAAAAATTCCCAAAGAATCGGAGGAGGAGCGGCAGTAAAAATAGGATTTTATTCCCTTCCCACCCTCGCTGCTCCCGCTCGGTTCCCACAGCAACGTTACAATCCGGAAAAAAAAAACCAAAAAAAAAAA